CTTTCAAGAACACTATCCCACATGCTTTCGAGAAGGTAACAGAGGCTCTGTAAAAAGTTCGATAATTGAACACCTTATCAACACTGCTCATCCCATCTCAACAGACGCGAGACATCTTGAAAGTGGAGAACAACCTGCGAAAGGCGACATGTTTTCGTCTCCTTTGCATTTCTGAAGCCTTGACCAATTCAGTTAGGAAAGACTTGAGCTATGCAGACAGGTCAAAACCACCCAGCCACTTCTACCGCTATTGTGGTGACAACCTTGTCGATTTCTGATAACTTGACATTTGTTAGGTTGTTTCTCCCACTCCTCGTCACTCTTGTGTTTCCCAAGTAATATCGGATTCGGCATTCATTTGCATTTGCACTGTGATTACAACTCCATTCAAATTAAGTTATTCATCCTATTACGTAAGTCTAATACACTTACTGAACTCCTCTTATGCATTGACTAATATTAACAACTATGATTACGTCAAGTCATCAGTTTAATTACTATTTTTTTCATCAAAAATTGTATACAAACTCGACTTTACAGCGAAAGCGCAGTACACCTAAATAGCCGAAAAGAGACTATGTGCTGGGAGATGAGGTTCCATTTTAAAATGGAAAACGATCCTCGAATTCCTTTCCTTGTTGTAGAATTGAAAAGAAGACTTCAGAGAGTTTTCAGAAAACCCTTCTACAGCAAATCCCTTAATACTGGTAAAGTGATGAGTTTTCACGGTTTTTGTGAATGCCTCTTGAATGGAAACCGAAATTCAGTTAAATTCCTTCATCTTCACATTACAGAATTTGTGGAGAATTTGCATTAATTTCAGTTGTTAGATTTTCGTCATGAACCATCGTGACCGGTAACAGAGATAACTGAAAACCAGTAAAAAGCACATTGGATGGCTGTTTTGTCCTTCTAGTTTAGTACTCCCTTTAAAGCAGTGTACATTCCTGACTCTACCGTCGGTGACTGTACGATTCCACACCCTCAACTGGTGATAAGATCAGGCTTCTTGAAGACTATTCAGCCATTCTCGAGTGGTTTGGAATTCAATGATCCGTGGATTCTAACTTTATCGATTGGTGCGTGATTTAACACCATTACTGTCCACCAATGCCTTCGGTAAGCATCCATATGACGTCTTGACATGGTGGGTAGACTCTAGTGCTCACGATTTCCACCATGTTCACTAGACCAGTTGGACTATGACAGCCAACTCTTGTGTGTGTGGGATGACTACAACAGAGACTGGAGATATGGATCCAACATAAAAAACGAACTGTTATTAGTTGCACAGAAGGTGGAGACATTTGAAACGATTGGGTCAAGTTTGAGTTGCAGAAGTGGAAGTGTCATTACACACTGACTTACGAGTACAAATTCATTCTACTAGCCGACAAATGCAGAATAGAATTCGAGATATCTAGTGATCGCGATCAATTGAAATGGACACCATATGAAACTTTCAGATCTGCTAGAGCATCCCTATTCGGAGCTTCCTGACATGTGCAGAGAGAGAGAGACAAAGAATTTCAGAATAACAGAAGAAATCAATCCGCATGAAGGTCATATTAATATTTTTAGGAGACAAAATAAAGAAAAATCAGCGATTTTTTCTTCAAACTTTCCGTTTTCTGTTTCCCATCTCAAAACATTCTTCTAAACTTTCTTTTCTCCAAAACTTCCTTCTACACTGCCGTACTCTACCTCACTCCATTTTACCCTAATGTATTCAAATTCACTTAAGGCAACTCTACTCTGCCTAACTTTGAGTCACTTCACTCAACTTTGTTCTTCTCCATCAAACTGTACTCAATTCAGTCCAACATAATAATGAATCAGTGAGAAATACCAAATGATTTTAATGTAAATGTAGAAGTTGGGCGTTGAAGTGGTAGTATGTCATTCCATTTGAGTCAAGTTTATTTTAAAGCCTCACACACACACACACACAATGATGTTGCAATATTCACGACTGGACGACAAGCTTTTGCAGCATAAATTATTATCTCATTCATAATCATCCTATCAATTTAGTCACATGGCTAAACAATCTGCCTTTATATATATATATATATATATATATATATATATATATATATATATATATATATATATATATATACATATATATATATATGTATATGTATTCCCTCTCTTTCTACCTCTCCCTTTTTCCCTTTTTCGCCACTTTCCATATATCCGATATAGGCGTTGCGTTATTCTGATTACACGTGTGCAGTGTGTTGATTCGATAAATAAAGATTCAGTCAGTGGTCAACCTCTGTCTTTCTCTAAATGACTATATTACTTTCTAATACTCTCACCTTGTTCCACTCACCTGTTTTATGATTACATGCAAGTGGATGCAATAGAATGCATTGTCTTTTCCAGGTTTTGTAGCTGAGCACGGTCAATCATTCTAGGCTTAGCTAAATTATGATATTCCCCTGATAATCTAATTGACTCAATCTTCTAGTGTAACTCAAGTAACTGACATGACTAACAGTCATTATATATATTGGTATTCAGTAGATGATATGTGAATTCCCTTGATTGAATCTATTCGGTCCTTCAGCTGACAAAGTTCACCTTGAAGAGAGTTAGTTGGTTTGTTGGTTGGTTGGTTTAAATGCCACTTCAACCACTTCCAGTCTCATTCAGAATCCTACTTAGAAGAGCCTCTGACATTCTTTCTTTTTATGGCAATGTCCTGCAGACTTTTATCAGTTCGCATAAGAAGAGAATAGCCAAACCCAAGTCTTTAAAATGAACCTTTCACTGAACAAAAATAAAAAACATCCAGAAAAAAAAGTAGATTAGTTGAACATGTACACAATTGGTGGATGGTGGCTAGCAGTGGAATCCAGGATAAAGCGCATTTCGTCCTATTTGGGACTCGCCAGCTGGATGTACCTGCATTTCTCACTGAGTGATGACGTTCCCACCGAGGCTCGAACCCAGTACCCATAGTTTCAAACGCCAAAGCGTTATCCACTAGACCACTTGGGCCACGAGAGCCACCTCTTCAATTCAATAGTTGAACATGTGCTGAGAAGACTGTGTGTTTTTGTGAAATCATGCACCAGACATATGCCCAAGTGGAAACCAAATGTTGAACCACGAGATGGTTGTGGATTGGAGGATGACACGGAGGAAACCGTACACGGAGTGGGGAAATGAGAGATTACGGGTAATCCTGGAACCGGCCAAATAAAGACTTCAGAGAAAAAGACAATGAATAGAGATATGATTCGACTGGAGTTCTCTGTTCCATTTAGTGCGTCGGTGGCACAGTGGTTAGGACTCTCGCCGACCATGCACATGGTCCGGGGTTCAAGCCCACGCCGACGCACACCTGATATCTATGGTTGGCCTGCAAAATTTGGGCTACCGATATCCATGCTGAAAATTCCATACTTGTACCAAAAATACAGTGTGGAATCAAGCTGTAAATAAAAAATAAAAAAAATAATAATAATAATATTTCTCTCTGTCCATCGTCCCCTTGTTGCTTTGTTGAGACTTTCCATATCTCCGGTATAGGCGTTGCGTCATTCCGATTTACACATGTGTGTTGTGCTGACTCAATAAAAAAAGAGATTCAGTCGTTAACCTCTCTATAGAAAAATATTAACAAAAGTTTCACACAAAAACCCTTTTTTTAACTTCTCCATATCTCTGTGAGAATTTTTAATTGTAAAAATATTTTGTTGGGAAGAACAATCGGTTTGTCAAAGCAAAGAACTTCATTCGCTTCATTTATTTATTGAGAAACAAAATATACGCCAAGTAAAAAAGAGAAGACATGAACGAAAACAGAATAGTGTAGCTTCTCTCTATATTTCCTCTTGTACAGAAAAGAAAATGTCTATTCCTCTGAATGGTTTATGTCTTTATAATTTGAATGTATATTTACAAACACATGGATAGCTAACCACTTCTATTACTACTTATTTGTCGACATATAAGTAGGTGTTCTTTTTGGTTTGCATAAAATTTTCCTGTATTCTATGAATAGGAATGGAGGAGAATAAACTAAAATGTTAGTCGAGTACAGTGTTATAAATTAAATTGGGGTTGAGTTGAGCGGAGTGGAGTGGAGCTACATAGGATGCGGTGGGATTAAGGAGAGTTGAGTGGAGGTAGGCGAAGTGTAATTCATTTTAATACAGTTTAGTAGAATAGGCGAGAATCCAATAAGACTAAAGAGACTTCATTGGGATAGATTAGGTTTCACTAGTTTGCTAGCTTGTCCTAAACTGCGACAAAAAAAGACGGAAGGTTCAGCATGAGACTGGTGGCTTTACGCCAAAAGACCCAGCCACTTGCGCTACAGAAAACTCAAAGTTAAACGGAGTACAACAGAGTCTAGTGGAATAAAGTAGAATGCAGCAGAGTACAGTTGAGTCTAGTTAAGTAGCGTAGAGTGGAATACAATGAAGCAGAGCTTAATAGTAATAATAAATATTAGCTTAGAATAGTGTAAACTCAACATATAAGTAGCACGTTGCTTGGTCAGATAAAAGGTTTTTGGTCATGGAAAATATCTAAAGTATAAAAGCAATATTTTGGGACACACAAGAATATGGTTGAGTAAAAGCAAAGTAGAGTGAAGTATAGTGGACTAGAGCAGAGTAAATCAGAGTTAAGTAGATTGGAGTATAGTAGAGTACAACAGAGTTGAGTACAATGGGATTCACAAGAGTAAAGTGAAGTGTATCAGTGTAAAACAGAGTAGAGTAAAGTTTAGTAAAGCAGATTTTAGTAGAATGGAGTGAAGTACAGTTGAGTAGAGCAAACTTTAGTTTATTAAGGCGACATAGAGACGACTTTAGCACCGTGGAGTTTAGTAGAGTATAGAATAGCTGAATAGAGTGGAGTTCATCAGAGTAGAGTGGACTTGAATCTTTGAGAGTATATGAAGAGTTGATTACAGTAGAGGTAAGTGAATTTGTGTACAATAGATCTGAGTACACTATAATGGATTGAAGTGGAGTAGAGTAGTGTTGAGTTGAGCGAAGTAAGTTGAAGCAAACTAAAGTTGACTAAAGTAAAAAATACAGTGAGTACGAGAGAGTGAACAAACGGACCATTGATAAAGAAGAATAAAAATTCACCTCATTTTTATTCTTACTTTTTGTCTTTACAGCAACAAGAGAAACAGCTTTGAAAACATTTACAAAATCCAAATAAACAATTAGCTAACAATAGGATAATCACTATTCCGAGTACACAAAGAACTATGATCGTAATATTTTTCCAACTATTAAACAAAGAAAAAACAAACAGAAAAAAAAGAAAAGACAAATAAAAGACGAGAATTTAGGCACTGTGGTAGAGTATAACTCCACTATGGAGAAGATTTTATTTCGATAAATCACACACAATGTAGCGTTACACGGTAATCAGTAGTAATCAGTTGCACGGTAACTGATATTTCTTAAGATTACTGTTTAACACTGTGATTTATCAAAATAAAATCTTATCTATTAATAAAGATGAGAATTTATCATCCTAACATTAATTTTTGTCATGCAAATCAATCTATATCAGTCGTTTGTGTTGTCTCTCCATCTCTCTCTCTCTCTTACATGACGATTGATTAAGATACTGTCATTTACCTACTGAAGTGTGTTATTTCTGCTTCGACGAATCGATATTTTCTCGGTTATAGATCGGCAGGATATTTTCTAGATGTGTTCGTGACCACTCGACACCACTACGGCTGTCACCTGAAGTGGTGTCCGCCAGAGATGTCTACCACTGCTGTCTCCATTTCTGTTTAACTTCAGCACAGATATACTAGGGGGAGGAATTCATTGAGCCTAAAGGATTTCAGCGATAAAACTCTCATTTCTCTGGTGTTTCTGACCAGAAAGTAGTAGAATTTATTGTAATTGGTTCACTTTTGAACACTGATCCTGTGGATATAACCTTGTTGTTGACTATTACCACCTATAACTAACTGTCTGTCGATTTGTGAATGTTAAATACATCAAATGGATAAATCTGTTGCACACAATCACTGGACTACATTCTCAACTGGGAGCTGGTGAAGTGTATGTTAGCCTGTTTTGCTTTCAAACACTGATTCTGAGGATATAAGTTGCCAATTTGTGACTGCAAAACACATTGAGCGGATACCTATGACCAACTAATATCTATGATTGTATATATTACTGGATTTCCGTGCCCAAGTCAGTGAGTCTCTGGTTTACTTGTTACTTTTGGTAATTGTGTTTGACAGTGATATTTTTACTACAGTTATTGTTATTGTTGTCATCGCTGCTTTTTCTGTTGTGATTTCTATTGTTCCCATTGTTTTATTTCTTTTTTCCTGGTTATAAACGGAGCAACCCAAAAGTAGCTCTACTTTAACTCACATCTCTATGTATTAACTCCCTTGTCGGGCGTGACGCTAGCAACCCTACCCTGTAGACAAAACCGCTACAGAAACTTCAGTGCAATGAGTCTCCTTGCAGCGAAAGAAAAAGTGTGTGTGGGGACATGGAACGTCTGCACCATGTATGAGACTAGCAAAGCTGTCTAGGTTGCAAATGAGATGAAAAGATATGGTACTGAAGTACTGGGAATATGTGAAAGCAGACGGAATGGGAGTGGACTCACAAAATTTCCAACTAGAGTCAGGGATCCACTCCGATCACCGAAAAGACGACCATGACCATACCGAGAGTGTGGCTACCAGGATAATGAGCACCAGACTCAACTCAAAAGGAAGGAAAGTAACAACTGTACAATGCTTTGCATCCACAAACAATGCAGACCTTGAAATGAAGGATGAGTCCTACAGACAACTAAAAGCAAACATGGACAATGCTCCATTTGGTGACATTAAAATATTAATGGAAGACATGAACGCCAAACTGGAATCAAACAACACGGGAAGAGAACTCATCTTGGGTAGAGAAGGTCTGGGATAAATGAATGGAAGTGGAGATCTCTTTGCTGACTTCTGCTACTTCAGTGAACTCGTGATTGGTCGCAGCGTACACAAGCACAAGGATGTCCACAAGCCTACATAGGTGTCACCAGAAGGGCGAGCCGAAAACCAAATTGACTTCATCTCAAGGATGCTCAACGAAATGGACAAGCAGCTTAATGGACACAAAAGTACGAAGGGGAGCAGACGATGGCTCAGACCGATATCTCACGCAAGGAACACTCCAAATTTAATAAAGCTTTCAGAGAAACAGGAGCTGCGGATAGACCACAAGTCAATTTCAGTACTCAAAATTTGAAGGATCAGGCCACAAAGAACATCTCTATCGCAATCATAAGGAAAAAAGCGGTGACATAAATCAACACTAGCGAAGAGACCAGCATTGAAAAGCATTGGAACAACCTGGAAGCGGTGTGGAGTCAAACCTGTATGCAAGTTCTAGGCAGAAAAAAGAGATAGGACAAACCGTGGCTCACTACGAACACATGGAGACTAATAGAAGAGAGAAGGATTGTGAAACAAGAGACTATCCAGTGCATCGACGAGCAATCTACACTAAATTGACAAATAATATTATGAAGCTATGGCAAGTGAAGCAGAACTACCTGCAGACAAAGGTTCCCTCGCCACACTCTCTACCAAGCAATTAGGTACCTATCGGGCAAGGGTTCGACACAGATTAAGCCAGTAAAGAGTGACAATGGAAAGTCAATCACCAAAGAGGTGGGGCAAACGAAACACTGGGCTGAACATTTCAAAAGGCGGATCGACTTCCTGATCGACCGCCAGCTACCACGTTCTCAATAATACTTACAATGGAATCAGAACTACCAGTGGATACCAAGCAGCAGAACCAGATGGAATCCCCGCAGAAGCACTGAAAATGGACCTAGAGATATCAGCGGACTTGATGACACCAATATTGTAGGTGTGGAAAGTGGGCAAGCTATCTGCTGATTGAAAGAAAGCCTACATATTCAAACTTCCGAAGAGAGGAAATTTGAGTCAATCCAAGAACTAGCGAGGAATTATGCTCCTGTCTATCCCAAACAAAATACTAAGCCGAATCATCCTGCAGAGAATCAAACACGCCCTGGTTAAAAAACTTCGGCCGGAACAGGCTGAATTCAGGAGAAACAAGTCACGTATGGATGAAGTCGCAACACTACGGATCATCACTGAATACAACTTTGAACAGCACTCAGCTCTCTACTTCAAATTCGTCGACTTTGTAAAGGCCTTCAGCAGACGGTGTCGATCGAAGGTGACTTGCAATCTACTTCGCTACTACGAGGTGTCGCGAACAATTATACATCTCATCCAACAGTTGTACGACAGAGCCGCATGCGAAGTAATCCACATCGGGAAACTCACGGAATTCTTCGAAGTGAAGACGGGAGTAAGACAGGCTGGCTGCCTACTGTCTCCAATGATTTTCCAGATTGAGAAAGGTAGACTGGATAATGCGACATACAGATAGCAGGCAGCGAGGAGACAGGCATAAAAGGAACCCACACGAAAAACTTGGAGGATCTGGACTTCGCCGATGATATGCGTCCGATTTCCTACAAACTGGAAGATATGCAAATGAAAATCAACAAGTTGGCAGAAGAAGCAGCCAGTGAAGATGGGACTTCGACTGATCATAGAGCAAACAGAGATGATGAAGATTCCTGGCCAATGCAACAGCAACAACCACAGACAACAATCACCAGGAATGCGAGAATTCTGAAAGAAGCAACCTCCTTTACCTACCTACCTATCTATATGGGAAGCATCGTTTCAACTACAGGTAGATGGAACGGATGAGGATATCAAAACGAGGACCGGAAATAAAATCAAGCTTTCAGCACTCTCAAGTCTGTGTGTACATCAACAGCACTCTGCATGAAAAATAAGATCCGGATTTTCACCTCCAATGTGAAGTCAGTGACTTGGCGCCGCGTCACGAAGGGCACTTCGAACAAACTACAGACCTTCATCAACAGCTGTTTTCTCTCAATACTACTCAAGATCAGGTGGCCAGAAAAATTCAGCAACAGGGTGTTAACTCTGGGAGCTAACCAACACAGCAGTAACCAACTTTTCAATAAATCTGCAGGAAGAAATGGAGTTGGATTAGCCATACTCTGAGAAAACCATCAAGGGACATTATACAACAGACCATAGGTCAACTGGAACCCGAATGGAAAGTGGCGAGTTGGTCATCAGTGCGAGGGTCACATGGAGGAGATCATGTGAAGAGGAGATGAAAGCATGTGGGCATCCGTGGAGCTAGGCGAAAACGTTGTTGGAGGACCGAACGCAATGGAGACGTTTGGCTATAGCTCTATATTCCTTCGGGAATTAAAGTAAACAATAATAATATTATTGTAGTAATAAATTTGGTGTGTTGTCCATTAATTTATGTAGTATTCTATAGAATTCCCCCCTCCTCTCTACTGCGTCTGAGTTGTAACCTTTCCTCCTTTTGATTTGAATCTTGCTTTTATTATCCTGGAAGAGATTGGTTCCCACTACATGAGAACTTTGGCTGCTATTGGTGACATCGTGATACCTACTGTCATAGTGTACTCGTGTTTGTCTTCTGAGTGACTGCAGTAAATCATTGGCTCACCAGTTGGCAAATTTAGCGCAGTCCACATCGATCTGCTCTCTCAGATTCTGAGCACTTCTGTATCATATCTCCTCATTTGTCTGGCTATCTGGACGGTTTTCCCAGCCTCGTATACTGTACGAACATTCCTTGTCTCCATTCTTATTCTTCCTTTCAAAGGGGAAAGACCCATTGTCTAGCTGACTGGCTTCCTGAAGGCTGTCACCAGCTCGCCTCATTTCGCCTCTCCAATTCTGGAGAAGATTAGCTTTGTCTTGTAAAATGTTTTGTATTTTTAATATTTTTACTGTGCGTTAAAGTTTCTGTAACAGTTTGACGGGTTTTCTAGAGTAGGATGCTTAGCTCCACGCTCAACACTTCTTTTTCACCCAAGCTTGGGACGCGCTAGAAATCTGATGTGTTAGTAAACTATTCGAGATTTATTTATCCAAACTTCTTGTTTATTCCCCAGTATTATTTCACATTTACTCCGTAAATGCATCACTTACTTCGACCTTGTAATTTGTTGGGTTCTCAATTCTGATCGGAAATAGTCCTATAGCATTCTGCTCCAATTTTATACATTCCTGAATTTCCAGTCTTTCCAAAAATGAATTTATTGAAAACAATGCTTTCTAATACAATTAGTGGATGGTGGCTAGCAGTGGAATCCAGGATAAAGCGCATTTCGTCCTATTTGGGACTC